GCTGAGCTGTATTCTCCCCCAGAAGTTTTTGGACTTCTGTAGACCTTCGGATCGCACCCCACAAAACAGAGCATGTGGTGTGCACTGTCAACTCAGCTGTGCAGCTGTGTCGTTAGTAATTTGTGGCCCTTGTTTCAACACACAGCTGGACCAGCTCCTGTGCGGCAGTAAAGCGGACACTTGGGACGCAAAGACGCTGATGGAATGCTGCAGGCCAGACCACGGTTATACGCATGACAGGTACTTCCCGGGGCTGCCAGTTGTCCAGTTTATATTGAAGAATTTGGTGGTAACCGTGTGTGTGCATGTGTACACAAACTTTTAGCTTTGTTTACTTATTAAAGGAGGCTTTCTGATATTTTGGCTTCATTTCTCTCAAGACTATAACTTTAGGACCCAAAGGGTTTGGGGAGGTTTTTTCTCACGTATTTTTGTGAAAATGGGCAGGCGGTGGGGAGCAGTGGAGGAAGAGCAGATAATCCTGGGGTGACCCCACAGCCCGTTTTTATGTGCAGTAAAATGGAAATACCTGTACGATCCCAGACAACAAGTCGTATTCATTACAACCGTAATCATTCCATTTGAATTCCAACTGTAACAACAGAAACAAATTTGATTTGAGTGCATTATAATGTGAATTCATATGTAATCATATTTACATTTGATAGTCTAGCTAATTGCGAGCGTCACACTGTTATTATGTTAATATGATGAAATAATTTTGGTGTATTTATTTCTGTTGTAGTCGGGCTGTGAAGTTCTTGTTTGAGATTCTCAGTAGTTTTGATAATGAGCAGCAGAGGTTATTTCTCCAGTTTGTGACAGGTAGCCCAAGATTGCCTGTTGGAGGTGGGTATGCTGTTGATTTATTGTTGCTATGGGGGTGTGTGGAGGGGTGTGTGTGTGAGACAGAGAGAGAAACTTCAGTACCAATAGCGGGATACGGTTTATTTGACTTACAGTTCCTCTTCGTTGTTGCAATATCGTAATGTTCCTAAGTTCTCAGTTTGTTTTGCAGTGTATTAAGAGCTGTCACTGGCAGGGAGATTCATAGGGATTGTCTTAAACACATCAGTAATGTACATGCAGTGCAGCTTGCAGCTCTACATGAAATTCAAATTCTCAGGCATTTGTATATTATTAACCCTTAGATGACTTAGATGAGAAGGCATTCAGAAGTCCGTCTTTTCCAGAAATGAATCCTAATATGAGTTGAATTGGTACTCTGTTTTAAAAGCAAAGGAAAGCATAAAGAACTCTTTGCCTCCATGTTATTCAATGACTCTGGTGGTAAATAAAGCAGGTACCAGGTCCCATACACTCGGTGTATCTTGAACGTGTAGATTTGATTGCCAAGCAAGAAAGAAGACCTGTGTGTGGTAACCTTGCGAGCAGAGCGGTGTCATGTGTTCTGATGGTTGATAAGAAAGGGTGTCCACACTTGTGATTCCAGACCAGTTCTCCTCATGGATAAGAGCCTGTTTTCTCTGAGCTCGCTGGCGGGCGCCCTGTAAACTTACCAAGTTGCTTGGTCCTTCTTCCCTCCCTCTTAATCAGGCTTCCGGAGCTTGAATCCACCTCTGACAATTGTCCGGAAGACATTTGAATCAACGGAAAACCCAGATGACTTCCTGCCCTCTGTAATGACCTGTGTGAACTACCTTAAGTTGCCGGACTATTCAAGCCTTGAGATCATGCGGGAGAAGCTGTTGATGGCCGCGCGGGAGGGGCAGCAGTCCTTCCATCTCTCCTGATCACAGCGAGCCACGCGGTGTCTGCCTGTTACAGCAAAAGAGAAAAATCATGATTTCTTTTCTAAATGTATCACCTGAGTCAAGGAAACATGTTACGCCTTCTTGTTGTAGGAAAAACGGCTTGCAGATTACAAAAGAGACACTTGGTTCATATTCATTAATGGCCCCATGGACTTAAAGTGATCAGGCCCTAAAACATTGTTGTGATGAGGTTTCTTTAGCAAGTTCTTGTTTAAATTATCATTTATTTGATGAGTGAAGTTTTTAACTTGCTTTGCTGTGTGAAATTTACAAAAGGGATGTTTTCCAGGCTGAAACAATAAATGTCGCTGTGCAGTTTAATTCTGGGCTGTGTGTATCCATCTAGCTAAGTCTGCAGTTTTGTTTCCTCCAAAGACAGCTCTTGTACATAAGTACAGAAATTCAAACTCACATGTATTTGACAAATACAGTTCGGTAGGTTAGCTCCACGTGCTTTTCACTCCCTTCAGTTTCCCGCCCTGGTCCCTGTCCTGTCTGTGCGGTTCACACCGTCTTTGTATACGATACCCACAGTTGGTACATTTCCATTCGCCATGAGCTTTTGTTCCGTGTCCTCTCTCAAATTAAGATATAATTTAAAATTCATGGAATTGAAATATATTGTCAGTATAATTCAGCCTTTGTAACTAGGTAGCCTTTTCTTATAGCTTAGTTTTAATATAGTTGTAGGGTATTACCGGCCTCCCACCGGTGACACACGAGGACTGTTTACATGGCGATTCCGGCAACGGCCACCCCTGGAGTGGAGACGGAGGAGCTCATTCACTTCTTTTGTGTAGGTCAACAGGTCTCCAGCTTGGGCTGGCCAGTATTTATTATCCTATGGCCAGAACATTTGGAATTAATGTACGGTTTTAAATGAAATTAGCAGCTTTCATTCCCTGTCGGAGTTGGAAAAAAAAAAAGTTTTTCTCCCTTGTTCTGGTTTTAAGTTTTTGTTCATCGTCTTCTTTCATTTTTCCACCCTCCTCTTCCCCTGCTGCCAGTGCTCACTTGGGACAAACAGCTCAGCCTTTGTCTCGACACAGATAAAAGCACCTGTAAGCAATGCTCTGTCCAGTTGTTTTATGTGCTGATTTCTCAAATCTGCAATAATTCATCAGGTTGATGTTTTTACCTGAAAATAAATAAAGTTTGCTTCACCTTTTTGTTTATAGTTCTGTGCTGTATGCAAAACTTGGATTGTAGAGATGTCTCAGTGCAAGCGGACCACCATGTGTCCATGATCTTGCGTCATGACTGACGCGCTATTCAAAGAATTTCTAATAGCAACTTGAAGAACATAAAATATGGAAAGAAAATGGGAGGAGATTCCTTCCTTCCTAAGGTTCAAAATTAAGCCTGTTGCATAGATTTGAGAGAATTTCCATAATTCATCTTTCTGAAAATGAGAGATGAGCTCATTGTTTTGTTTTGTTTTGTTTTATTGGACTTTGAGAAATCAATTTTCTTTTGTTTGCTGTTCCAAAGTCTTATTTAATGGATGTAGAGACCCCTTTGTTCCCTATTCCACCACCTAAAAGAAACTCAGCGGTTTGTTTAATTTGGATTCCTGTGTCGTTTTACACTTAAATGGCCTTATATGAGCAGCCCCTTTCTCAGTGACCCTGTGAAGTGGACTGGAGCCGGGAAGGGCGCTGGTGGCATGGCTCCCTGGTCCTTGCAGAGGCCCTGGCAAGCGAGCCGCTTCCCGCTGAAATCAGGAAAGGGAGCTGGGTTTCTTGCAGTTCTGACCTTGACAGCCTAGGAGCTGTGCAGTTTAATCAAGCGAAACTACTGTTAATGAACCAGTTGGTTTTAAACTGTTCTGACACCTTTTTACAAACTAAGCACAAAAGACTTTTGCCGAAACATGACATTTTGTTTCTCATTTTTTAAAGGGTTTTGTTGTTAGGATTTAGACATATGTACAAACAAAGTAATGTTTCATTTTCAAACACCTGTATTTGACATTTGATCCATATCACGGCCCTGGCAGATTTGGCCTCATTGATTTCAGCATCAAACGAGTACCTTTGGCAGTTTTGAATCAAACTCTGGAGCTTGATTGTTTCAGAGTCAGTAGTTAGCTGTTCAAAAGCTTTCAGTCTTTAGCTTACTCCTTAATTTGGGGGATCCTTGGTTAAGTAGGTGCAGGAAGACTCTTCCCATTGCAAAGCATCTCCCTCGGCAGAGGCCTTAATACTGCTTCGTAGGGAAAAACACACTTCATTTGCTGTTGCTCCAGTTATGCCTTAAGTTTCTTTGCTTAGTAATCCTGTCAACGCATTACTTTCTAAGTACTCTTTACACACATAGACCTTTGGGTAGTGATGAAGATTTTGTTGTCTTTGAGTTTTCGCCAAGGCAGAGTCCGATGTTAGTCACAGCTAACACTGAGTGGCGCTGCCACGTAGACAGTCACTGATGGGATCTGCTTTGTACATGAAAACACTTTTAACTATTTAAGAAGGAAGGAAAAGTTAGGTTCATGTATTCCCCTCCTCCCAGCCCCCCAGAGAAGTGAACTGTAAGTTCTAGACAGTCTTCCTAGGAAGACACGGAGAGTTCCAGATGCCTTAGCCACGCCCAGCAGGAGCCTTACACGCAGCTTCTCATTGGACACAAGAGTTTTCTCTTCTTCAGCCCTGGTTCCCCGTGTTTTCACCGCAGCATTCTGTAAAGAAGGTCGTATCCCCAAGTCCGTCCTTCCTTGGCTGTTCCCGTGACTCTGGTACAGAACGGGGGGAGGGGAGGTGCCGCTGGCTGACATCCCTCCCTGTTCTGGGGCGTCAAGGCCACAAGGCTAAGGGACAGGACCCCGACTTCTGCATCCAAGAAATCGATTCAACTCCCGATTTTCCACAGTAAGGGTCATCACTAGACAGTTAGTAGTTTGTCTTCCCTTTAGTTCTACTCGTGTTGAGGTTGCACTCCCAATTGCTGCCAGTGAGTAAACTGGGGAAGTGGGGTTGTCTTGCTGGGGAAAGACCTAACCGTGCATTCAGAAACCAAGTCCTTCTGAGGGGGGTGGGGGTCTGGATACTCCTGTTCATTCTTCATTGGCAAAAATGATCAAGCCTTTAATTCATTTTATCTGAGGCTTTGTTTTTTTGACCCAGTTTATTTTCCCTGCTGTAATGAGAACGTTGTTTGGAAATGTCATTCTGTATTTCTAACTCTGAAAAATGCTTCTGTATGGGTCTTCGGTGTGACGCTGCAGTAGCTGGCATCCCTGATAAAGGATAACCTAGTGACGAATCACTGAAAACGCTTCCTTTGTTACCTCAAAAGAAAAAAAAATTCCAAACAAAATATAGCATTTATATTTATAGAAAACGGAGGATTGGCTGTTTTCCAAGAACTTCAAGTTAATTCTTATGCAAAAAAAGTTCTTAATTCTAAAGACTTGTTCTGCATAAAGGAGACATTCTTTAATAATGGAAGAGGTGGTTTTATTTTTACAACAAGCTTACTCATTACCAAACCTATAACCAATTGCTGATCTCCTGTGTAAAGCATTTTTTTTCTCTTACCTGAAACAGTGATTTATATGAACTGTTGGAATAATGGAACCTCAAACTACAGATGTGTATGTAAAATTGCATAAATGCACTGACTTCCTTCTCCCTGAATATATTTTTAATAAACAGCATTATCCTACATGGTCAGTTTTATTAAATTATGCACAACTAAAGGGTTCTTCTGAGAAGTGGTATGTTTGTCTGGGTGGCTTCTGTAAAGCTTCCTATCGTGGTAAGTAACAGTAGTCTTAGCCTTTTTGGAGGCAGATAGATAGTGGAGAGTTAGTTACAGGAGAAAATTCAGAGATGACCCTAACACTTGCATGTTGGTGGAGAGAGATTATGTTATACTTGTTCTGTAAGCTGTTCCTCGGCAGTGGTGAGGCGGCCTCTGGGGTGGGGAGACACTTGACAACGTGCACAGGCAACAGAACCTCCTGGTTGGACCCCCACGAGGTCACCGTGCTTGGCTTTCAAGGCTGGTGCTCTGCCCTTGACAAAGGTCTGGATCATCATCCTATTCTAAAACAGAAAAGGAAAAGTAGAATTGATTTAGGAAAGCAAAGGAGATGGGGGGTTTGAAACTGCTTGTTTTGATTTTGTTGTTACTGTTTAAGAGAAGAAGAGGAGGAAGTGTATACGTAGATGTGTCCACAACACACGCACGTGCACGAACACACACGCTTCTCTGGTCTGTTGGTGCAACTGCCTAAGGATAAAGCCACAGTTTCCCCTTGTTGAATCACTTGGTCTGGAAAATGACTTTGAATCTCAGGTGATGGGTGCTACGAACTCAGGCCTTGCACCAGCCTGGCGCAGACATGAAGTCTGTACCGTGCAGAGCCATCGGTGTCACCAGTGCCGGGGTGGGGCTGAGGAGCATCACATTTTTGGTTGATGTCATTCTGTGAATGGACGTTGGCATGTTGGGCTATAGAGAAGTTTTAAATCTCAGTGGCAGTTGTGTCCAATAGGAAACAGTGTCCCTTCAGACCCTCTTGAACCCAGTGCATGGGGAAGGTGGGGCATTTTGTTACAATTCTTGTAACTCGCATGCTCCCTGAAACCTCTCCATCCCTCGTTCTCTGCCAGGTAGGTTACGGACCTCAGGTGTGTCTGGTCTCTGCTCCGGCCCTCCCCCGACTCTACGTGGGGGTGCTGGTGCCGCAAGCCACTCCGTCCTGCCTTTGTGGGGAGCTGCCAGGGCAGCAGGCCCCAGAACCCCCAAGAACTCACCTGCGTACTTCAGGCAACTGTGGGAGACACCTGAGGTGCTTGTACCTCAGATAACCCCGTGGTGGCTTCAAGGCCCAGGCACAAGTGGAAGATGGTGCTGTCCCTGGGAATTCAGGTTTGAGGAATAGATTTTAATACCTTCTCTGTGCCTAAGATACACTGAACATCCATTAGGGACACTATCTTAAGAATTTACATTAATATCAAGAAAATTGCGCTAAGGAATATGAGGGCAGAAAACACAAGCTGAGAATGTTAAAGGGACAGGCCCGTGTTCACACTGATTTTCCATGACTGGATGTGAAGATCCGGTTATCTGAAATAACCGTAGAGAACGAACATGATAAAGGGAAAGCCCAACACTCTCCCTTTGGTGTTTGCTTCCTAATGAGGGAATATGGGCCTCGGGTAAGACCATTCATCCAGTCAGTCCCCTCCGGGAGTGCGTCTCGACGCCACCTAGGCAGAACTCACAGCCCCTGGAATCCAGGCGTCACAGGAACTGGCACAGAGCAGGCAAAGGGCTCCGTGGCATTGCACGTGGCCGAGCAGGACGAGCCCTGGACCATCTGGCCCGACCTGGCACCTCCCTGCAGGGAGAGTCGTGACCCCTAACCTCGCGGCCCTCACCCTCCCCTCTGTACTTGTCAAACCAGTTCACTCGTCTCAAAGGTCACATTTTAGTGTTAATATTCTTACAATCTTGGGTGTAATTCTTCGAACTGTCTCCCGGGGTCTCTCCATGGAGGCCTCGCGGGCACTTTGGTTGGCCCAGCCCTTCCTGTTGGAGCATCTGGCTTCCCTGGCTCCAGGCTCCAGACCTCAGTAGCACTCACCCTCAGTCGCTGTGACAAGTCAAGATGCCCCCAATACTCCCAGACATCCCAGATAATCAGGGTGTTACCCCCCTGGCTGAGAAACAGGGATTATGTGTTGCAGCTTTTGGAAAGCAATCAAGGTTTTTTTTGTTTTTTGGTTTTTGTTTTTGTTTTTTTAATTGAAGTATAGTCAGTTTACAGTGTGTCAACCTCTGGTGCACAGCATAATGATTCGGTCATACATGGACATACATATATATTCATTTTCATGTTCTTTTTCATTATAGATTACTATGCAATCAAGTTTTATATTCAGCCAATGATTGTGGTTAATAACAAATCAAAACTTTGCAGCACTTGTGAGCAGGTACAACTTAGGGATAAGAAGAGGACATCACCTAGAAAAGACCATAATTCTGCCCTCCCCCACTACGCGCGCGCGCGCACACACACACACACACACACACATGCGCGCACACACGCACACACTGCATACCTCTCCTCCCTTCCTTCCATTAGGAGGAAGTCATCTTCCTTACCGCTCTGATATCCGACTTAAATGAGAACTTCTGCCATGCTGGAAAGAGAATTTCCTCTTTTTGTATCAAATATAACTAACCTTGAGAGAATACTAAATTCAGAAAATGTCATTATAATTGTCACTTTTCCAATTTCAAAGCAGTCTTACTGAAATTCATTGAGAAAAGTCCAGTCGTTCTGATGTCAGAGGATGTTCAGTAAATTGTTCAAGCCAATGTTTTCAACTTTCTAGAACTACACAATCAAAAGAACTTGGTCTCATAGCATAGCATTACGGGCTAATAGAAGAGGCAAAAAATAAGCTTGCTTTCCCCGTGGACAATTCAGTGCTGTAAGAGATTCGTTTGCTCCCATTGTTCTGATACATAACATTCCAGCTGGATGGAGAGAAAACAGAATCCATTTCCTCCCAAAGCGTTAAATGATGTTTTGACCAACAGAGATAAAAACTTGAGATTTCTGTGGTCTTTCTCTCCAACATGTCATTTTCCTGGTCTGTCTCCTAACACCCACGGGGATGAGACGGAATCTCTTCAATCACTGATCAAGCTGACATCTACCAGAAAGGGGATGAATTTTAAAAAAGGGTTTTTTAATTGTTTTTCCTTTACTTGGAGATTTTCATTAGGATTGCATGGCCAATTAAGCACACTACAAACAGTTTAATGTGATGTGTTCAGTCCTCCTAGTTTGCCATCTGCCGTCTCATCTCTGGTGCCTGGCGAGACGCCTGTCCTAGACGGCGCTCAGATAGGCACTGAGGAGTCCATGGGGACTTCGGCATGTGAGTTGTTTCCTCTTTGCCACTCAGACTGTGTCACCGGTGCTCTTTGACTTCAAGGAGTTTAAGATCCAGGTGGAAGGCAAAATGGAACCAATACAACTATGTACACAGCTAAGTGCTAAATTACGTGGATTTGTAAAAATCCAAAGGAGAAATAGGTCATCAACAGAGTTATACGGAGTCAGAAAAACAACCTCTTAACATCACCGCCACCACCAAGAGCAGAAACAACCAGGTCTGTAACCAGTGGTGATACCTCCTTCTTTGACAAAATGTGCTGTTGACACAGTCCTGTTGTATTTTTTGGTAAATCATTCGCTTGGGCCAGTATAGACAAACAAAATCAGAGTTTGTTCAGGAAAGAAGCAGATTCATGATCAAGTAGGATGACCTGGGAATGACTAGTGCTGGTCAGAATTAAAAAGCATTTCTGTCATAAACTGATGAATGAAAAAAAAAAAACACCCTCAGTATTCCTATTGCCAGAGTAGACGTGATACAAGGGGATGAAAAAGTCCATTTTGAAAACAAACCAATTTTTTAAAAATCAATTTGAAGATTACACATAGAGTATTGTGATTCTATTTGTTTCAAAATATACTTAGTACAGACAGCCCAGGAGAGAGGGAAGTCAACAAACAGTGGTTCTATCAATTATATTTCATTTTTGATGACAAAATTTTTTTCAACTCAAAGCTGCTGCTTGTCTCAGTACAGAGTTTTGTAAATATTGACCAAATACTGTGAAATTTCAAAATTAAACTCTTTTCTGATACTTACAAAACTTGTTATGAAGATTTCTATGTAACTGCCATGGTATTTGAGAAAGATGCCTGGCTCTAAATTTTGATACTTGGGTTTTTGTTGTTTTTTTCAATTTGACCTTGGATAAGTCGTGTAACTTTCACTGAGTGTTTCCTTATCTGGGAAATTATGGGAGCAGATAGATTAATATCCTGCTCCCAAACTCTCAGCTCTGACGCCTGTCACAATCCTTGGACTGTCTTTTCAGTTCAACTCAGTTGATTTAAGAGGTGGCACAGGTCCTCTTCTAATCAAGTTGAATAAAATACCTCTTCTAATCAAGTTGAACGAAATCAATGTAACTGTCTCCTACACAGTCTGAATTTGCCAAAAGAAAAGTATAGATCTATTTTGGAAATACACTGAAGCTGCTTTTGGCCCGTTATTAACACAGGTATTAAAACGCCTAAGGAAATGTTATTTTGATTCTATGCCTTGATCTTTTAAATTGTCCTTAGTGTTTAGTTCTAGTGGGTTTTCTGTTGGTTTGTTCAGTTACCATTTCCTAGAACTGGGATTTTGTTTTCCTTTTAGCACTGGGATGTTAAAAGCCAATACCTTTGGTTAGTTTCGTCTTCAAAACTTAGAGATGTGCAGATTCTCGAATCTGGGAGAGTCATTAGAAAGGCAAACCAACCTGTTCAAAAATGATTTAGTTAACACATTATTCAAGACCACGTATCTGTTATTTTCCAGATGGGCGACACACTGGTGATTAAGACCCCTCCACAGGAAGGGATGTAAAGGCTCTCCCAGTGCCCAAAGGGACAAGAGATCATGCTAAGATATTAAACCAAGGTTTTGCCTTCACCCCTCCCTCCATCCCTGCTTTCTGGTTCTCGTTCCTTCCCCAGCCACTCAGCACCAGCATGAGATTTCTATGTGTGCTGAGTCTTGGGTAGGAAGGCCATAGAGAAAATAAAGAGAATTTCTGGCTGCTGGATTTCTAAAT